ATTAAAGATGTACATGTCTACAGAGGATGTGATGTCAGTTCAGACTATTTTTTAGTTGTCTCCATGGAGAAGAGGGGGTCAGAATGTGAAACCTAAAGTGGATACACCTCACATCAGATACAAAGTTAATCTCCTCAATGATGTATGTATATGGAAGCTATGTCTATAAAACATGTCTAGAACAAGTGGGAATTGGAGCCTTGGGTAAAAAAAATATCTCCAGAAGAAGAATGGGTCTCAGAATATGGAACTAAGACATAGAAGAGGCATTAACCAAATAGAAAACTGCCTCTAAGAAATGGCTACAGGTAAAAACGGAAGAAAGTTGGGAAATATATAAAAGAAAAAAGAAAACGTAACACTGCTAAAACTGTTATCGGGAATTCTCACAGAGAAATCTGGGAAAACTTCATAATCAGAGTGAAATATGATGTTTATGGGTGACAAGATTTTGCCAACTAACTTCTTCGTAACTTAAACAGCCAAGAAAGAGATACTGCCAGAATTAATGCAATTGAAGAAGTGGGTACAACATTATATAGAATTATGGTATGATTCGAACGAGGACATTTATACCAAATTTAAGATAATGGAAGATATATGAACTCGGTATGAACAAAGTGGGAACGGTTCTGATAAAAATGAAGAATAGAAAAGTGCCAGGTGTGGAGGTGTTGAATTCAGAACTATTTGAGTATAGTAGCTTTTTCTTTCAACTTAGTCTGTTACATTTCCTGAACATGTTCTGGAAAAATGGAATAATTTCCCAAATCTGGATGACTGCAGAAGAAAGGAAATCGGAGTGAACCTGGAAACTATTTAGAAATCAATGTTCTCAATGCCGCTTGTAAGGTAAATGCCAGAATCCTAACAAATAGATTAAAAACTATTAGAGAAGGACACCTATTAAATGAACAACACAGATTCGGACAAGATCACTCATGCTCTGATAACATCTTTTTTCTGAGACAGATAATTGAAAAGAGAAGAGAATATAATTTGAAAATGCATCTTCTCATCCATAGACATGGAGAAAGCGTTTGATAAGAGTGGTAAGAAGAAAGCTATGGCAGATATTAGAGAAAAGAGGAAGAAAATACATTCATACTTCGTTTCATTACTTATATGCAGCAAATCTACATTAGCTAATACGATCATTGATCTTCCGTAAGTAATGTGAAATGTCAGTTACCATTGTACGCCTCAATTGTAATTATGTAAACGTAAGTATTTAAGTGATTAGGCAGAAGATCAGCCCTTAAGGCCTGGGCCTCACCAGAAATAAACACATTATTAATATTATTATTATTCTTATTATTACATCGTTTTTTTCTTCTCGCTCATCAAGAGTTTTCAGATATAACTCAAGGACAGAACGTCAACACAGATGGTGAGAAGTTCTTGCCCTCTGGCACTCTGGTTCCTCTTCAATGACTGAGAGAGACAACCTCGGGCACAATATTGGTGGTTGCCAGCAACACCACCTTCTGCATGGTTCTGAAGTGCCATTCATTTAGATGGAGTTTATCTTTCACAATCCTCCAATCTTCAGCAACAAGCCCATTAGTTAAAATAACAACGGGTAAAATATCTACCTCTTATTAGTTTGTATAGGTTTTTCATTTCAAGTTAGAGTGGCTGGTATTTTCTTTTCTTTTCTTCAATTGTTGACAGCAGATTATGATCTAATGGGACTGCGGTATCTATTATTTTGCCCTGTGAGTAGTGTTGTCAAATATGACAATATCAAGCTTATTTGCCTCCTTTGTTTTATCTGTACCAATGGCAGTATCCCACAAGATTTTTGTTCTATCATTAGACAGAACTTGCTCCAGTAGATATTTGTAATAGGGCAAGCTTTCCTTTATCAGGTCTGATCTTTTGGAAAGAGCTTGGTGGATGATTTTGGCCACATTATTATATCATTATATTAATCTGTTTCTGGCAACTAAGAACATGAACTGCAGATATGTTGAATAGATTTTTGACCTTCTTACACAGGCGACACTTGTTGTTTTTGTTGTTGTTGTTATTATTATTATTATTATTATTATTATTATTATTATGATAACATCAACTATCTAAATAACTAATTAAAACCAGATACTTAAGATATTTTAGAACAAATCCAAGCCCAAATCACACAAGTTTAAAAACTCAGTTCCAATGGGCACAAAGCCTCTGTTTCAGAAAATATTATTGACGTGGTAGCAATACACTGAACTGAAATTTTTTGCTGTCAACTTACCTTCAAATCTATTCCAACTTCGTAGGTCACTTTAATACACACACACATATACATACACACTCCTAGATACTTGCACGTTTATTGAAAGGATTCAGAACTTCAAGCATTTTTATTAGAAATTTTGTTTTTTTAGGTTTTAACCTAATTTGCGCTTCTTTGGCCCCCTCTCGCGGGTCACGCCGTCATTCCCTTTGCGGTTCATTTAAATGCCTGCTGGAACCCATACTCTATTGTAAAAGTGTCGTTCTCGGAATTCGCACCTTTAAGACCGAAATAATGCGGTTTGGCGGAAGCAGCAGACACCAACCCATTGTGTGCGTTTGCACGATCCGCCAGAATTTCTAATTGATGCTATTTGGGTCGAATTTGTCACCATTTAAATTGGAAGCAAAATACTGAATTTCAAAAAGTTTGATGGGGATCAAATGTAAACCAGCCGAGTGAATCTAATGTGAGCCAAATGTCATCTCCGAATCTGATAAGATTGCGAAAATACTGGAAAACTGAAAACAGCAGTGGAGTTTTTTTCGAGAGCAGCATCAATACGTACAACCAACGCCTTGAAGTAGACCGTCGTTCGATGGAAACCATCTTGAAGACAACTGAAGAATTAGTCGACGAAATTTGTCACCTCTTCGACGTAACTATCTAGCCTAGATGAGCGGCACTTTTTCGAAAGTGCTAATGGATAAGGCCTAGCAATGGGTTGAGCGAAACTCTTAAAAGACTAACAGCAAGGCCAGTCTAGAACTTCTAGTTGATCGCCAAATTCCGACCCTCTGCAGCTGCACTCCTGGGCTAAGAATAAGAATTGTGTTTGCTTTCTCCTTTAGGAGAAATTCAAGCTAAGGCAAAAATCTTGGAAACAAGATATCGGTTTGCTGTCGCAATCAAAGGTATCAGATCCTGCCACGCCTGCACCCCCAGGGTGAGAAGGACTTGCTGATGTAACTTTGTCCATGCAACAAGGTGTTACAATTCTTGAAGATTTGAAAAAACACACACCTACAAGACACCCCAACCAAACGACCAGCAACAAGAGGTGCATTCAGAAATTTTTGCTAATATTTCTTCATTAATAAAAAGCTTTAAAAATATCTTTTCCTTGCAGATCTAGCAGTCCAAGTGACAAAATGCGCAACACGTAAAGTATCTTTAGGTAACAGCTGAATGTTAAAAAAATAGCAAAAAATTGAAATGGATCTATCGTTTTCCCAATAAAAAATAATTTTGTCAAGTTAATAACATTTCATCACAAATTTTGTAATAAAAATGTTTGTTCGAAATCCTTCCAAAAACCAAGGATGAACTTTTGCAGGCATGAAGTAACTAGGAGTATTTTGTTTTAGAAAATCGAAAAATGACTGAGGTTTTTTCACAATCAATTTTTAACCTATTTTTACCCTTATGAAATTGCGGTGATATTGAAAAATTTTAATGCAATTTTGTTGTGGCTTGAGATCAAAATATGTACATATAATACATACGTATATTGACGAAATATGTTAATATATGTATGTTTATTATACTGTTATTTGACGAAATGCATAGTCTTAGTTTGGAATTTTTTATTACCTTTAAATACAAAATAATGTTGCAAAAAATCCAAAAAAATAAATTATTTTTTTAGTATGCCGAATCCGAAAATGAATTATTTGTATGATTTGCGGACTTTCGTTTGTGTTGACCGTTTTGTCAAAGAATTTCCCATGTGCACAATGCTTTGGAACATGAAACCAGTTGTCATTTCAGATATAAAAAAAAATATGAGCAACCCAATTTTGGTATGACGTTAAAAGTCCATGTACCTTGTTATTTTGTGTGTATATTTCAGATTTTCCACCAGTGCTCATGTTCTTACAAAAAATAGTTACCGTGACTTATGTCTCAACCCTCGTATTAAAAAAGTTGTGTAAAAAAGACGTTGCCTTCGTCTCTGCGGTAATGACCACAAAATATGATTAAAAAAGTGACTTCCCCACACATCAGCAACTTAAAGTATTTTAACACCAACGTGGAAAAAAATACTGTAGAATGACATAAACATTTTTTAAATATTAAAAATGTTCCCTGAGTGTTCCCATTATTACAATTTTGTGGGGTCGTCGTTGACGTCCCTCCTTGTTCTCCGGGTACCGAAATAACATTTGAAGACAAAATCGAAGGGTACGTGTTCGTGGCTATGCTGTTTTTCCTGGACTTATCGTTCGCCGTTACTCCCAAGATAATGTGCACATTCTGGAACAGATTTTCTACTGGTTTGTTCCTGTGAAACTTCTTGACTCTGTGGCGTTCTTAGGATTTTTGTATTAGTTGCTAATTCCTTCTCTCATCTTTGTAGCTTTCTCTTTCTTGCTACTCTCGCTCTACGCAAGCTTTCTGCTTCGGATTGCTGCTCCAATCCACCAGTTACGAAAAGATTCACTTCTCTGAAATTAAATTGTTCTTTTATCGATACGAACACGATTTCTAAAATAATTGTCACATATGTTCGTAAGATACTCGTACCTTTTAGTTGAAAAAAATGAAAAATTGTAAGTGCCGCAGGCTCTTTACAATTAAATTAAAACTAAATGTAATGATCATGCTTCAAAAGGGTAAGAAATACTTGCTCTAATGGCAAACTGGCGATCATTAGAAATTGAAAGTGCTGATTTTAATTAATTCAATCACGACCCAAATGTTCACGGTGTTTGCTCTAATGAGCACTTGATCCTTGCACTCTGATCTATTAATGAAGTTTTTCTGCCAGCAGGTGGAGAATGTGGGCCAGATGCCAACAGCGAGAGAAGCGTTTTAGGCATGTGTCACGGCATCTGGAACAAAGGAAGCGAGCTAACGAATGCAGCAGTGAAACCAAATAAACGCTCGTATGCGTGCTCTGTCTGCCAAAAGTGCTTCTCACACAGAGGCAATTTAGCTACGCACATGCGGATCCACACCGGAGAGCGCCGTCATGAATGTTCGGTCTGCAAAACCACCTTCTTACAGAAAGGTCATTTAGTTAGACACATGCTGATCCATAGCGGTGAACGTCCGTATGGATGCTCCCTCTGCGAAATGAAATTCGCACGTAAAAGTAATTTAGATAAGCATGTGCGAATGCATACCGGTGAGCGCCTACACGTATGCTCCATTTGCCAAAAGAGTTTTGGAGAAAAATGTAATTTGGTGAGGCACATGAGGACTCACACTGGTGAACGCATTCATGAATGCACCATCTGCCAAAAGACCTTCACGGAAGGATCTTCGTTAGTTACGCACATGCGAATCCATAGCGGTGAACGCCCTCATGAATGCTCTGTTTGCCATAAGACATTCATAGAGAGAAGCAATTTAGTTAAGCACATGCGGATTCACAGCGGTGAACGCCCTCATGAATGCTCAGTATGCCAGAAGCATTTCGTGCAGAGAAGTCATTTAGTTACGCACATGCGGATCCACAGCGGTGAACGCCCTCATGAATGTTCAGTCTGTCACAAGAATTTCGTTCGCAGTAGTCATTTAGCCAAACACATGCGGACCCACGTCGAGGAGCCCCCTCACGAATGCCCTGTCTGTCAAAAGAGCTTCCCACGGCGAAGTCATTTAGTCACCCACATGCGTATCCATAGCGGTTAACGCTCTCACTAATGCCCCGTCTGCTAAAAGTGCTTCAAAAGAGTTAATATAGTTTCGCACATGCGGGTCTTGAGTGGTTAACGCTTTCTTTAAAGATCCATGAATTGTGTCCAAAGTTTCATCTAGTGCAGTATTTAGCTTATTACATGAAGGTTCATGGGGGTGACTGACTAATTCTTTCTTTGCCCAAAGCGGAACTGAAGTTTCACATGCAAACACGTGTAAGTCTCCATTTTGTGAGGTTTGGAGTCTGGACAATAAGAGAAGACGCATCCTTACAAAATTCTCTACTTATTCAAACGATATGCACCTTCGCAGGGCGCCCAAAGTAGTACGACTAAGGGGTCAAAGAGAAAGCAGGGCGTGGGCCGCCTGAAGGGGGGCGCTCAGGCCGTGGGGAGTCCGTGCTCGGGTCTGGTCGAAGTCAATGCTTACATGGTATTTACGCAGTCGCTGCCGGTCGTCTCTTCTCGGACTGGTGACCAATGCAGTCAGCTGTGCAACTGCGTTTGAGTCCAAATGCGCCATCGTTGCAGCGCTTTGAAAAGGCGCCTGCGGGGGATACCGTTATGTGTAGTTTCTAATAAAGGTGTGCCTTTTGCTGTGATAGCTGCGATGCCCATAATGCTCCGATTGCAATAATGGTGTTAAAAGCGAAGGAAAATATATTATGCAAATCCATGGCTAAGGCCAATCATGAGTCAGACAGCGGCAGCGGGTGAGGGGAAATCGATTAGTTTGAGTGGAATCACCCCAACGAGAGATGCCGAATGCTACAGAGAAAACTTGAACTGAGGAAAAATTATAAATTTTTACTTTCTCGCTATTTTCTAAACTTCGGCAAATGTATCAGCGATGACAGATGATTTTCTTGAGACTTGGAGAAGGTTGTAATAATACAGATATTTCACTTTAAAATCGCGCTTTTCAGTATTTGAAATCCCTGAAAGCTAATTTTGCTTATGGAATTAAGTGACGAAAAGATATTTTCGAAGAAAAAAAATAGCAAGAGATTTTACCTAGTTTAACTCGCTCAGCTATACCTATAAAACACGACCAGTTCTTCAGACACATTCCTCTTTTTTTCCTAAAAAGTGTCGCGAGATCTAGCTTTCTGATGAAAGTATGTGCCAATTAGATCGAAACAATCTATCGCACTATCTTTTTACAAGAATATGCATTCATGTGATATTCATATTCTTACAAGGTTTTGTATTAATTTGTGATATCTTTGAAGTGGTAAATTATACATTCTAAATATCTTAAGTGATTGTTGTAAATGAGTTTGTCAGTGCTGGTTTCAATGTTAAGTTTTCAATCTCATATTAATCCAATCTATTATGATGTAGAAAATTTAAAAGGATGTTTTGTTTATTCTTCAATTTGTATTGGTTGGTTGTCTGTACTGTTGTAAATATAATAAAAATAAATTATATTGATATTTTTGATTGAGGAATAAATTGGGTTTCCTATCATTTAATTTCCTTTTCCCCTTCTGAGTAGTTTTCGACGTTATGTGGAACACTTAAAACCTATACAAACACTATATTTTTTAACACTGAAATGTTTTTATGAACAGTTAACCAAGAAAAAAACCTTGCATAATTTTCCTGAAATTGCTTTTTTCAGTATTTCTTTAGTATTAACTTAAATGCGGAATGTACACGTTTGTCTTTGAAATTGAAAAAAAAAAATCATAATTAATTTATCAATATTAATGTTCGTGAAAATGTAAACAATAATTGCTACTTCAAAACAGGAATTTACGTACTTAAGAGCGTCAAAGGTAACAAAACACTTGGTCAAGTTAACAATATTTTACTGTCAGTTACATCGAAACATATGGTAATACCGCGAAAGTACGCGAAAAATACTCATATTTTCGAAAACTTGTACATGATCTTATTTTAAAGAAATGTCTTTGAACAGATTTCGTTATGAAAAACCTGCTACAACAGCACACACTTTCTCGGATGATTTTTAACTTTCGCAGTATTTGAAAATTCAGAGTTCAACAAGAATGGGACCTGGGCCATATTTTAAGCGATCTGTGATCCATTGAAGGGGAAAATATTGAAAAATTAGGGGTTCTTTAAAAAACAAATTACCTTTTTTTCAACCAAAAACTACTCAAAAAATGGTGTATAACCTAATTTGAAGACGTATTTTTAGAAAAGAAGAAAACTTGTTGGATTTCCAAATCTCCCTCCTTCAGTATGTTTCATCTGTCATTTCATATAATTGTTTCCCTCGCACAGAGCCATTACATTGTCAATGAAGTTTGGCAATGATGATTAAAAAGCGCAAATTTTGGTACTGTTGATTTTAATACTTAAATATGTTATTGGAACTAAATTTAATAGAACGTTTTCTTATATAATTATAAAAATAACAAGGCTTTACGAATTTGTTGTGTTTGTCAAAATATTAAGTAAATGTCTTAATACGTTGCAATCCAATTATCCTAATCTTTTGGTAAAATTTCTTAAGTTCTTCAGGATATTTTCTTACAAAATTGAGTTTTACTGGACTATAACTCATCTTGTGCGTAAAAAGCATGAGATAGTCATTGCTTACAAGTTTTCACATTTTGAGGCACATATTTCGCTGTTTTAAAAAGGGGGAAAACACCTTCATAATCCCTAATTTCAACTACGTACGATTTAAAATGAACGCAAAATTTTGCTTTATCATTCACCGTGAAGCAGTCACGATCAGTATTTATTAACCACGTACACCTTAGCGGTTTCTCTTTACGAAATTTAAACGCTGAGATAGATATGAGTCGCAATGCAATATTCTCTTTTTGCAACCAAAAACTCCTTACGAACGTATTTCAGGTACACGATTCTCCCTGGCCTCTCTCATTGTCTAGTCTGCTGTCTAGTTTTTAATGAATACGAAGTGGTATGACAGCCGGCAGCCTAGACAATGGGAGAGGACATGTTATTAGGCGACCGCTTTGCTAAGGTGGCGTGTTAAGTGAAAGTACTATGCAAGAATGAAGTGAAGGAATGAATATCTGGGAAGTCGTTAGAATGTGGATAGGTCCGAGACATCAGGAGTAAAATGATGAGTCCATAATTATTCAAAATAGTGATAAAGGCTATTATTAGTTCAGTGTTAAATTATTTGTACTTAGCGAATAAGTGAAATCCCTCTGTTATAGTCCTGACGAAGGCTGAGTAAAAGCAGAAATGCCACTTTAAATGACGTTTATTACTGACTTAAACTCAAGAAAATTTCCCTACAATACATATACAATTATTTTTAATGGGTTCTTTGCCTCCATCACACCACACCTTTCTACAGCCAAAAACCTTTATAATTTAATTTTTTCGTCAACGTAACATAATTTTATTTGATTGAAAAAATATTGAAAATAAAATGTGTACTATCAGAAAAACATTTGTTGATGTTTTCTCTACGCTAATTTCAAACGCAAAACAACCAATTAAAAAAATATTTTTACTCCGAAAACTTATTATGCCTTGGAACAGGCTCGAAAACAATGTCACAAGTCCATCCCAAAACAAATTTTGATTTTTTTTTAGATTTTTTCGACTGCTGGGCTGTAGTTAAAAAATAAAAATTACTATTTTCCCGCCTTTAAATCACTTTTCTTTAAATATTCTTTGAAAATTACTAAAACAGTTCTGTTCATTTATTTTGGTGTGTAATATACATTTGTATATTTTGTTCTAGCACAAAGAAATATTTTGACTTTGGAGTGTAGATTTACCTTTATAATTCTTTGTATATCATACTCTAAGGATAGAGGATGAAGAGGTTTATAAAAACCCATCAGCACAAAACCCTAAGTACACAGCATAACAGCTGACGAAATGTCATGTAACACTAAATAAATCGGAGTATCGTTCAAACTCTCGAACAGCGGAACTTTTCCCTCCTATTAGACTGATCGTCAGTGATTTTGTTATTATATCTGTGATTATATCTGAGATGTTTCCAGCAAATATAAAGATTTATTCAATTTGAAAATTCAAAAGTATTATTAAAAATCAGAATATTAATGTTATTGTTAAATGAAATAAGAACACATGGACTTATAAACTCAGTTTATTGATGTGTCTGCAGGCTACATCCATACACAGCTCAATCTTCAGGACAAGAATCATCGAATGAGCATCGTGCGTACACTTATATTACATACAGTTACTAGTTACGTAGTAATTCTATAGACGTCAGTAAATACAGTTTCTCTAATATGAATGTACGTGAATATTACAACAGTTATTAAACATACTTTTGACGTATGTTATGTAATACACAGTTATCCTATAAATTTGTGAGAACTGATAAGTAGTATACACAGCGGAATATCCATTTTGAAAAAAATATTCCTACTTGCGTGTTGAAAACTTTTTCACAGTAGGACCAATATTTTCCGAAACCGATCTAAGGAAGACGATACTTCAAACCATACGTTGGCATGAGCCCTGAAATCGACTTTTCGGCTGAAAAAATACTGTCAGGCATACTGTAAGCATTTCAGGACTGAATATTTGTTGGGAACACGCTCCATAGAAAAAATCCGCGTTTTCTTTAAAACTCGCCGTAACAGTACTGTTAAGTAATAAACAGGAAAAAATGTGTTGTAATGTGTGAAACGGAACCTGGAAAATGTATGTTCTCAGACCTGGAAAACCGAGGAAAAGTCTTGAATTCCAAAAAGCCAGATTGCTGGTCACCCTGATATAATAATTTTCATTTTATCGCTTGTATTTTACAATATATTCAAGTAACTCTTTTGTTTTTTGTTTTTTTTTCAAATGGAACTATTCATATTTTTTTAATTATGACGAGCGTAAAAAGCCAATGATATACATATTTTTGAGTAATTTTGATTTTTTTGCAACTCTTTAAAGGATATTTTGAATGTAGCAGTCTACCACCTAAGGTCACGCAGCGCTCCCCTTCTAACCCGCGTTCGGATTATAAGAATGTTCGTTAAATACGAATAGCAACAAATCACAATTACTCAATCAATGCCCATCTAACATACACTGAAGAGCCAAATAAACTGGTACACTTGCCTAATATAGTGTAGGGCCCCATGGCGGCATGGACTCGTCTGTCTGAAGTAGTGCTAGAGGTAATTGACACCATGAATCCTACTGAACTGTCCATAAACTCGTACGAGGGGGTAGAAATCTCTTCTGAAGGGCATGTATGTCGTTGCAAGTTAATATATATTTTAAGGGCAAAGCAAGGGGTGGAATTATCGCATGCCTAACACACCTATTTTGAGACTTATTTTGAGAAGCATCTGTTGAAAGTCAATTCTTCAGTTATTACAGTGCTTGTAGTTGAAATTCCAGTAATAGTGAGAAAGTTTTCCATTGCATTTCCTAGCATTGGCTACCCAGTCCACATCTTCTGAATATGATAATTAATGCAAAAATAATGTGCCAATTTTTTGTTAAAATAAATACATTTTTAATTAAGATTTTTTTATAGTATTCATTGATAATTTTCATGAGAGTTTGGTTTGATTCAGAATAATTTGGATGACTTTGCAAAAGAATGACGACTGGTAATTGAGATACTAGGATAAAGGAGTACTAGTAATTGAGATAACAGACCATAAACAGGGACAAAACGTTTTTTTCTAAAATTAAATATTTATTTTCTTCCCACTTCATTGTATAATATCGATCCAAAGACCTTTTCATTTTATCAACTGTATTATATTTGTCTGGGAAAAGAACAAAATTCATTTACCAAGAGGTGACAGCCAGAAGTACACAAATAAAGTTTATTCCTTTCTGTTTAAAGTAACGGAAAGAAGGTGGTGGTAGTGTTTTTTTGGGGAGGGAGGGGGAAAGTTTATAAATATTTATTACTATTTGCCAATTAGAGAACATGAAAGAACAACGCTGGAATAATTTTATTTCATATTATCCACTTATACAATTGTAACTTAAAAATATTTTGCTTTAATGAACCAGGAGCAAGAATGTTTCAAAATCGTTTATATTAAATTCGTAAAAAAATCCAGAACAACTGTCCTTGTTTCATATTTGATGGTGAAAATGTATGATTTTGAAAACATAACTCAAGGAGTCAGTATTTTTTTCTACATTGGATTTCTAAAAGATTTCGCATTATACAAATTTTACACTATGAAATATATGTTTGCGAGGACCGAGGTCCAGCATGGAGCAAGTTTTATCGTAGTTTTTTTATACTCCAATCAAGGAAGCTATTTTCTTTCCATTGTTTCCAAGAGAATAAAAATAGTACATCTAACTTTAATGCACTTTGAAATGACCAACGAGAATAAAGGAGAATTTTTCCAAATGTTCAATGCTAGTAGGAGGCTATGTAGTAATGTTAACCATGGATGCTCATGGCTTTCAAAACAATCTATTTTAAAATGAAATATTCTTATGTTTTATGTGTAGTAATTGTGTATTTTATAAGCATCAAATGTAAGTACACAGAAAGTCTGTTTTGCTGTCTTTTCATGCAAACGTGGAACTTTTATGTGCCTCCTGAGAAATATTGACACATGGGCATGTAGGATTTCTCAAATATATGATGAACTTGAATGACCATTTTCTTTTGTTATTTCTAGATCAAAGAAGAGCCAGTGGTCAAGGAAGAAGATTATTCCTGGAATACCATTGTGAGTTAGTTTTATGGTAATGTTTTAGAACCAAAATAATGGACATTAATGTCTTTATATACTAAAAAAAATTTCGCTCACTTTATTCTATATCTAATTTAACTTGTACTAACAAAAATAAAAAAAAAAATGAAAATGGGTGTAAATCTTTGTTTGTTTTCAAAAAGTTTAGTAGGAAGTCTTTATAATTTTCTATGGACATACAGATGTATGAACATATGCATTGTTTGCATGAGATACAAAGTTTTAGTATGCCTGTTGGTGTTAATGTCTGTTTAATGGTACTTGTTAAGTCTGTATGCTTATGAACCTTAATGTATATATTTATGAATCCCCAAATTTTTATTTTAGAAGCAGTACACATAAAGGATTATGTAGAATCTATTGTGTGTGTATGTTATGAAAATCAAAAGATAAGTATTAGATGCCATATTTATGATTTCCAAGTCTTCAAGTATTCCAAAGAGAGAATCCAAAGGTCAGAAATTGGTAAACTCTCTCAAGAGCATTACTAGGATTCATTCAAATTGTGTTGCATAAGTAAAAATGATGTTTCGAATGTCCCTGACTAGTCAATTTCCAACTTGCATTCATTTTTCTTCATCATGATGATGAACAACATGTAAGGCTTAGGTCTCTTGACCTGTTTCGTGGTTTATCATTATTCCGTCATTATTGCTTCCAAGGTGTTCTGGACCTTCCCTGCGCATTCTTGGTCTGCCAGGGCCTCTTCTTCTTCTTGGTTTATTCTGAAGGAATGGTTTATTCTTGGGAATGGTCTCCAAAATCTTTTGAGGACAGCTCCCAGTAGATGATACACCATTCTCTGTGATAGCGATTACACAAGTGCGAAGAACCAAAAATTTGACTTACGCCATTTCATGATTCAAAAGGGAGCCTTAATAAAATTTTGAGAAGACACTGTAATGAGTGAAACAAATTTGAAGCTAATATACCAGATTGCGAAGGTGGAGTAAGATTTCAAAGAAAGGCCTGGGTCCTTTCACGTTATTGCAAATTTAAATTATAGAGTTAAAATAAAAATGTGAATTTTTTTAAATTTAATTTTTGACAATATTTCCTTTTATCTGGGATTTTTAATAATTTACATGCTTATTTGCTCCCCTAATTTAACCAGAATAATATCCTTTTTAATGCCTATTCTAGTAAAAATAAATGCCTTTTTGCCAGCCAATTTTTGGAAAAAAATTTTGTTTATTTGTAAATTATATAAAATGTTCATTAATACAAATTTGGAGAAATATATTTGTAACTCTATTATGTTCATTTTTTGTTACTAGATCTTATGAAATATTACTTATAAATTTAATATTAAGTATGCTAATGTACAAAAATCTGAGAAAGTATAAAATTATAATCGTGTAAATGTTGCAACATAATGAAATGTAAAATTTCTCCATATTTCTTGTTTTGTAGAATCTCCTAATGTTCCTCGTGAATCCTAGAATTCCCAAAGGGATGCTTTATTGCTTTTACAGGTTTAAATTGTTCTAAGAAAGTAGAAATTATTAATTATGTTGATGTGCTTTTTGTTCAAAATTTGATGCAATGTACCACAAGTGTGTTTCAGAATTGGAATTATTACAGCTTCTTTGGCTGTAAGTAAAAAATTCAACATTATTCACACATAAACTGAACCATCAGAACGCATTGGTAGTAATTTAAATGTAATATTATATAGTGCAAGACATTTATGTTTTAAAGATACATCAGCATTTTTGTGACAGAAATGTAGCAATAAGTTTTGGTTTTAAATATGGAGGAATATGGAGATATATGGGGGAATATTGATTTTCTTATTTGTTTACTTAGCCAGAAGTTGAATAATGTTTTTTGTTTAAAATAATGCACAAATATGTTATTGGTTTTATCAATTTAATAATTTGTAAAAATCATTAAAAAAGGTTAATAAAATCAAAATGTAAGTGGTGGGCCCCAGAGGCGCTTCCTGGGTAATGTCCAGGATAATTTACTCGTTAACATTAGCATGGAAACACTTCAATTGTTCACCTTATGTATATAAATAATTCTGTGTGAATGTCACTTTTTTTTTCTTTTTTCTTCTTTCTTTCTAAAAGAAAATGTGTTTCCGAGTTAGCTTACTAAATATCATTTTAAATTTTGAAGAGCTCTTTTATTTTCTGTTTGTTTTTGGAGAGAAATCTCTGTTACTTTCTTACCTCAGTTCTACTAAAGATATTTTTAGAAGTATCTAAAAACAATCTCTATGAATGAATCTTTCTATGAAATCACCTTGATTTCTATAAGCATTTTTTTTTCTTTCAGGCAAAAGATGAACCCAGTGCTTTACGTCATTCATTGAAAGATGGTGATAGAGATGATGTGAGTATAGTCATTCATTTATTATAAATAAAGTAAAGTAATTTTTAACACATTTTGATATGCAAAACCCTTTTGTAAGTGAAAAGGGAACACTTTATAATACAACTGTGGGGGAAGAATATATTTTTGAATTGAGTAAAATAGAAGTGAGTTATTGAAATTCAAATTAGGTGATAAATAATTAATCTTTCTTAGTTCATCCTCAACCCTATAGTGTGGGATATGTAATAAATGTGACACAGTCTGGATCTAGGGTAAAAATTTATCACGCTTACTTGCTTATTAGAAAAGCGAAAGTGCTTTATGAGAATGATTTGTGTCGCCGAACTGGCATGAAAAGCAAGGGATGTTTGAGCTGTCATTGAAGGCTTTACTGAAATTATGTAGTAACTATGTGGGAAAAATGTTGATGTTGCAGAATAAACTGAAAGAATGTTATATATGTTTTTAACTGCGAGAGTTGGATGAATTTTATGTTAGTATCCCTTTCAGAGGTGAGTTTTTAATTTTTTTCATCCTTTTTTCTTTCCTTTTAATTCTTTTCATTCCCTTGAGACCAATTGAATATTTTTTATATATGAGAAGTATTCATTTGAGTCTCTGATTTGTACTTAATGATAATGCATTCATTTGTCATGATTATTTCCAGATTTACTTATTAACTGTCCTTAATCTGTCACCTTTGATTATTGCATTGTATTGTTATTTTATTGCATTGTGTCTGAAAGGGGTATTAAGATAGGATTAACATTGTAATATTTGTTAGGCAATATGAAATATACAAGAAAGTATTTGGTGTTTTAGCTATTAATTTGTTTACTGAATGACAATTTTGTTCTTCTGTGGAGAAGGAGTTGGAGCCTGCATTTGCAGTGTTTGTTCAGCCAACAGGGTTGCAAGAAGCAGCCTTTATTGAAGAAACAAAGGTATGGCTATCATATAGAGGGTTAATGCAAAATGATTGGCGGAATTTAAAAAAAAGACGTTATACACGGGGTAATTGACTTAAAAATATGAACCTTATTCTATTGTGAACTGGAACTCCGATTTTTTTTTAATACATTGCAAATGCTCAATATGGGTGCCCTTTGTCACTGTCACATCCAATGGAATGCCCATTTCTTCCCAAACATGCTCCGACATGTCAGCAGTGATGCTTGCTGCATCTGGCTCTGGTGCACGTATGCAGTTTCAGAATATTCGTCAGCAGAAACTCGACTTTTAATATATACAAGGAAAAAATCACTTGTCATGAGGTCTGATGAATGTAATGGCAGGGCTAAGAGCCCTGATCACTGTTAGTCCCATATCCGATCCACCGCTGTGGAAGTTTCTTGTTTAAAAACACTCTAATGTGCGTATGGAAATGAGGTGGTGCACCATCCTGCTGTACAAGGAAATCGCCCCTGTCATCTTTCAAGGGTAGTGGTGACAATTTTAGAGGTAACAACCATTCTGTAGCCGTATCAAGATAAATCATCCCTGACCTATTCTGTTCAGTGAAGAACAAGCCATAACCTTCGACTTTGCAACGGCACGCACAACACATCAGCTTTGTGGAAATTTGAATTTAAAATTTGAGCAACCCATCTGTGAATAGTTGTGGGAAGGAGGGTCTTTTCCGTTTTTTTTTCTTTTCTTTTTCGAAAATGGCGCTGGACTATACGAAGGTTGCCTTTTATGTTTCGGGATTTGGCAACCCTGGTGTTGCAATCTGGCAACTGACAGCTCTATCGTAAAGTTGGATGTTTTGAGGTTATACGTACTCAGAACGTTTTGACATACGAGCGCTATTTGTGTTGTTTACAGTAATTTAAAAGATTCATCTTGGCCCAAAAATGGAATTAAATCGTGAACATTTTTGTGCGATTATTTTTTACAATTTTCGACGTGGATTAACTCAGCAACAGTGCATGGATGAACTTAAATCAATTTTTGGTGATGAAGCTCCATCAAGGACCAGTGGTAGTGAAGATGGTATGGTGAATTTAATCGTGATCGTAGTTCACTCCAAGACGAATTTCGCGAAGGTCGTCCCAAATCAGTTGTTCCGAAAACCATTGATGCTGTGCGTAAACTGATATTGCAAGATCATGTGACCTATCGTGAGATTGAGACAACCTTAGGCATTAGTGGGACCAGCATGCATTCAACATTGCATGAAAATTTGACTGTCAAAAAAATTTGTTCGCGTTGGATCTCACACAATTTGTCAATCGCTCAAAAAAAGGCTCGTGTCGATTGGTCGAAAGAAATGCTCATAAAATACGATCGTGGTGCTTCGAAACACGTCTATGATATCGTGACAGGTGATGAATCGTGGATTTACGCCTGTATTATGAGCCCAAAAGTAAACAGCAGTCGACTGTATGGGTGTTTCAAGATGAGGAAAATCCAACAAAAGTTGTTCGCGCACGAAGCACTTCCAAACACATGTTTTTTCGGAAAAACTGGACAGGTCGCAACCGTACTACTAGAACAACGCAGAACAGTCAATTCTAAGTGGTACACAACGATTTGTTTGCCAGCTGTCATCCAAGAAATCAGGAAAACCAACCGCCGAAGACGGACCAATCTTCTTTTTGTAATTTTCAAAAAACCTAGCAATACCCGAAAATGACAACCACCATATTTTTTATCGTGTTTAATACGTAAGTAAAGAAAATTCAAAGAAAAAAATTCAAAATAAAAAATATTTAGAGCCATTGTCTCAGGAGCTTCGTGTAAAATATCCCCCAAATTTAAAAATCGGTTTCAAATTCCAGGGTTCGTGACATAAATCTAGAAGAATTGGGGAATATCGGCTGAACGATTTATGCGCTAGCGATGTGTACACACAGATAGTTTTGCCATCAATCGATTTTTCGTTATGAAGGACGCACTAAACATGGATTCTGGCTACACCCCGTGTTAGAAATTTTTTTGCGGCATCTGGATTTATCATCGTTTCCCTTAGAAGGGCCTGACAATTAAAGTTTTTGTCAAGTCAAAAAAGTACATTTTTATAATTTTTGGAAAAACAAAATAATAGAGCAATGTACATGTATGTCAATTACATGCCACATTGTTCTAGTATTTTGGTTTACCGAAAATTATAAAAATGTATATTTTTAACTTCCCACACGTCGGTAATATTTACATTCGCGGCAATGTGTTCACAATATTGCATTTATGAGTATGTATACTTTAAATAATGTCATATACATTTTCTTGAAAACTCAACAGTTTTCTGTTTGACTGAGGTCAAAATTCCAAATTTTTAAACATACTCAAATGCCATTTTCAAAAATATACCTCGAAATTTATTCTTCAACCTTTTTAAACGAATAGTGCTAATGAAACTGTTTGAGATGACAGAGAATTAATTTTCCTGTATTCTCTTGTGTTTTTTTTTAATTTACACATAATTAATGTTTTTGAAATAGCTCTCACGCCTTTAATATGCACTTTTCCATCAATTTGTAAACACTATTGCATTTGTGACTAGAAGTGCTTAAAATGACTTTATATGAAGTTTTTCGAAAACTCAACAGTTTTGTGTGAAAAGAGCTTCAAATTTCGCGTTTATAGAAACGTTTATACACGTTTGATTTTCCAAAAACAACTCCAAACGTTTCTAAGAAAATTTTCATGTAGGGCAAGGTTTTACTCTTCTTTCATAAAGAAATAATTCTGTTGTATTATTAGAAAACTGGAAAAAACAAACTTAGAAAACAATAAAATGTACTCTGGGCGGCGATAGATGGCAGCTAGCAAAGTTTGGCGACCTAAGAAATGTTTTCATTAAATGACCAAAAGCCATAAAACATTTCTAGAAAAAATTGTGTTAGATATCTACTTATCACTTAAGTGTCAGCTGTTTGTTAACCAGGTGAAAGGGGATTGTCAGTGAATCAAAATTGTCACAGATTATCAAGTTTAAAGATACCTTTCCTACCTTCGCTTTTGTATATCTCAGTACATTTTGATGGTATTTTCTGATGTCTTGCTCTAGGGTCCTCTTGCGGCATTTTGTGAAAGTGGTTTTGCTGCAAAAATAAAACCAGAAATTGTTTCAAGTTCCCCAGGTGAGTGTAAATAAGATTTTTATAAATTTTGTAAACGGAGTTGTACTGGGTGTTAAGTTTAATCTAGTTTACTAATGCAAGAAACTACCGTATCAACCGACTCATCAAAAAATCATGGAGGTCAAATATTTCATGTCATTAATTCGGTTGTTTGTAAAACGACGAGTCCATAATTTAAAAATATTGTGGTTACAACAGCACATACTTTCTGGCGTTATTGGAAACAGCAACATATTGAAATATTGAATTTTCTGCGCTACTAACACTCCGGCTATTATTTGAAAACGTCTAATTCAAACCAAGCGCCTGTAATGCAAATCTGAATTTCAAGTGCAGCAATAATTTCTTACTTTGCCATAATGAAATAAACAGAAATGCATTTGACTGATACTGTATTTGCAGCAAATTAATGCTGAAGCGCTGTTGCCAGCGCAGCATTGTAAAAATGTGCATTCGCTTTGTAATATAAACCGAGGTCGAACATTTCAACCTGGCAATTCAATTAGACATTTCAACATCAAACCATTCTCTTAAGCGTCATTAATGCTAAGGTCGCAATTTAATCCAAAAGTGAGAGTATTTGAAAAAAAAAGTTAACAAAAACGTCTTGCTTGGCACAAAATTTTGCAAAAAATATACATGTTTTTGAAAAACTGAACATTACCTTATTTAAAGATATGTTTTTGATGAACCCACTTCAATTAGAAAAAATGTATCTTCATAATTGTAGTTGTGGGAAGTCTCTGAAAAAATCAAATTGTTACTATTTTTGAAAAATGCGAGTTTTCAAGACAATACAATATGCGCCATTATCTTTAAAGTCCTTCGGTGTATCCAACACCAAAATTTCATCAAAAACGATGGAGCCGTTTTTTACAAAAAAGTGTTTAAACAAAAGTTAAAAGTTGCTTATATTTCACGCACAATTACGCGAAAAAACTACTAATGTTTTCGAAAAATTATACATAACTTTATTTGAAAATCAGTCTTTGAGGAATAATCTACCTTTTAAAAAAATTTCTTTAATATTTTAGTTGTAGGAAGTCGCCAAAAAAAGTTTCAATGGTAAAAATAGTGAAATGATTTTAAGGGATATTTGGATGTTTGGATTAATTTCGATAAGGGGAATGTGAATAAGGCTGACCTGTTGGCCCTGGGTAAAAAGGATTTAAAAATATGGAGTTTTAGCGCTACGCGTAAGGTAGCGACGTTATGCACTAAGTCACATGACAAACCTTGAAGTCATAACGTTTTACCTCAGGCCTAAGGTACAACCTTATACCTTCATAAATAGTGCACGCTCGTGGGTGTCTACCCTCACCTTACATGCGGCAAAATGGCCGCATAAAAATATGAAAAGTTGGATAGTTGGATTTTTCCAACTCTGGTAAACCGATTCTCCTTTGTGAGGTAGTTACAATTATTCCTTACCATCTCCTCAACGCTGGCAAGAATTAACAGGATATGTTGGAGAGGTGACAGGAAAGAAATTCGCGAAAAAGGAATTCAAATCATAACTTCGGGATAGGTTATGTCTTATTATCATAACGAACGCTGCTTTAATTTTCAAGAAAAGCAGATTCCAGACTGTATACTCATCACGGAGGGCCAAGAAATGTAAAACTCCAGCACAATGTATATTTGTTATTCTGTTGACTCGTAACGTGTTTTAATTGTCTCACCACTAGTGTACAGTCTTTGATATTCTCGTATTATACAATTTCTCTGTAAAACGCTTGAAATGTTTCGTTTGTTATAATGCATAACGCAATGTCGCAATTGCTAAAACTATTCTCAACGTTGTTCTTTACGACCGTATAAAGGTGTTAGTGACGTGATCAATAGAGTTTAAGGATATCTCCGTACGCCTGGCGCTAAAACTCCCTAATATCCAAATGTATTCGAGGACCTTTGCGTGAAGCGATTCTTTCCGATATGGGGATGTGCATGAGGTGGACGTCTTGGCCAGAGGTTGCTAAACTCAATGTTAGAAAGCAATGTCATGGTGTATTTAAAATAGAATCGGCAGTCAAACATAATCGCTAAGGAATATTGACAACTTGCCTGCACCATACTGCAATGTACAATTGTTTTACAATTTAATGACAAAATTCAGGATCTTTAGACGGAAGACAAGTAATAGGAGGAACGTTTATATCTCTGCCACTATTTTCATAGGCAGCGACAGATGTGTAGTGTATTAACCGTAGTTAGCAGTAGAGCCACCCTAACTAAGCCACTAAATGCTTATATTCTACTATGTATTACGTTAAAACATTTTGTGGCCAACTGCTGCCATGTATTTTGCTAAAAGTGTATGTTTTAAAGACCTTTTTATCATCTCAAAAGTTAATTTCGAGTTTATTAATAAGCTATTTTCCAAGATAGTGTGAACACATTTATTGTAAATGCCTTTATTGCCTTAAGGCTCTGTATTCTTCTAATGCAAGTGTTCTCTCTTTTCAGTTCGAGAATTTGGTAGTCGCAAACGCAACATCACTTTTCAAAAACTATTCAAAATTTAGCGTGTGAAAAGAGATTAGCTCGAAAACGAAGTTTTCACGAGCTCATGCGCTCCCATACTGATGAGAAACGTTTTGGATGTTCCTTCTGTGAGATGAGCTTCAGTGTGAAAGGAACCTTAGAATCACATGCGCTTGCACACTGGAGAAAAACCTTTTCAATGTTCCATCTGTGAAAAAAGTTTTAGTGTAAAAGGAAGCGTAGATATCCACGTGCGCACGCACACTGGAGAAAAACCATTTCAGTGTTCCATCTGTGAAAAATGTTTCAGTATAAAAAAGGACACTTATCTAGGCACATGCGCACGCACACTGGAGAAAAGCCTTTTCAGTGTTTCGTCTGTGAAAAAAGCTTAATTGAAAAAGGGAGCTCATTTAAGCCAATCTACCCCCTAACACGTGAAAAATCTACGTTAATACATGTACAATTTTTTATACATTTTCTGTTCGATCTGGGAGGTAATTTTTCTTCACCTAGTCTTCCTTCGTCTGTGATTAGAGCTCTGCAGGTAGTACTAAATGTTCATATACGGAGTGTCCGAGAAGGAAACGTCGAAATTCGCAAATAAGCTCTTAACCACTGTCCTCATATCCAGTTAAAGGACAGTTTGACTTGCGATTTTTCTCGACTTCGGTTATGATTGGAAATTGTGAGTTAAGTATTGGAAATCGTGTGTATATAATGCTGGACATCTCGATTATGAATATGTTTATGTTTGTGTGCCACTACTGTTAATACTGGCTGTACTGCAATCTTCAAAATGGGGCCGAGAGGGAAGGCCGTCAGATCCGATGTGTTCATGTTATAACTGTTTATTAGGTTAATTCAAATTACAAATAAACGGACGGAAGGTGTTTTTATTCTACAATAGTTACGTTTCGATACATTTAATACAGTTACGTTTCGGAACATTTAATACGAAACTCCAATCAAATATGATCAATACGTAACCTCAAACTTTGTGTCCAGCTGACTGGATATAATGGTTCAGTTCGTGTAGCTTGTGTAACATCATGAGAATGCATTGCTTTGTAACCAAATACAGATTTTCTTCGGAGAATTTTTTGTTTTCTTTATCGAGATTATTTAAATATAAATTCCTTTTTTGTTTCTGTGTATATTAGAAGTAATATTTAAGAAATATATTTCTCATCTGTTATGTCTGCTGTAAAAGTAAAGAAAATTGGTTATGTAATTATGAAAAGTGATACGTTATAGATCTCCTTGATCCAAGTGAGTTAGAAGGTGCATCGTCTGTTGATGTGGAAGAAGAGTTACAAAGTTCTAGTAGTGATGATATGCCAGATGACCAGTAGCAAATACAGAACCACATACGCCTAAGGTGTGTTTCCCAATAGTTTTGATTTAGCAAGAATTTGTTAGTGGCATTGAACAATTATTATTGATAAATTCACATTAAAAGTGATACTTTGTAATATCTTTGTGCAAAACCCATTTCAAAACAAGGGAGTGTCTAATAAACGGCTCACTACGATGGAAACCTACAGAAACTTATCCTAATGTGTATTTAGTTGATAAACGGAATTTGTTAGTTCGAACCTTCTGGTTTCCTTGTGGTTATTTTTATGAATATTTAGATGATTCATTCTGAAACCTTGTAGCAGATCAAAGTAACAGCAGGGCTCTTCAGGCTAACTTGTCAACAGTTTTTAGAGCTAGAACAACATAGTACAAGAAAGTAGGTGCCCGCATAAATACATGGGTTAATTGAGTACCAGAAGCTTTATTATCAATTAGGTGCGAGGGTACCAGCTGTGACAAATTTCTAATGACGTATATTTACTCAAAGGAAAATATATTCAATTTGTTGTTCATTTGTCTGTCTTCTGAAGTGAAAAAAGAATCACTACGGAAAGTACAACCAAGTGTTTATGCAGTAAAATATAATTGCAATTCCCTCCCTCCTAGTACATACCTCAGCATTGATGAACAGTTAATCCTATTTTCAGGGATCACTTTTCAGGTACAACAATATGTAAAGAATAAATCAAATCCTGTGGGTTTGAAAACTTGTATGTCCCTCCTACGAAACCTTTGGTTAAATGGCTACCACATAAACGGGAGCAAAGCCACCCCAAAATGAGGGATGAGATAAGAGAGAAAATATATTCGTATTTCATGTCCCAAAGCTGTAGTTGAGAATTCAATTGTGGGAAGAGTACTTCTTTGTGACAATATGGTATGCGGAGAATTCAAGAGTAGATGAAAACCAATACGACGATCACCATACCATTGTGGGCAAAGAGAAAAAGATGGACAGTCATTCCAAAAAGAGATAGTCGCAAGGCAGGTGTATCGTCCAGCCTGTGTAGTAGAGGACTGAACAGTTCATGAGAGAAATGCATGTGCAGAAATGTTCACTGCACTGGAGACACGTTTCAAATGCATTTCATGTAATGTGCATGTTTCATGTAATAAACGAGAATTTTTTTTTGATTTGCCACTTGATTTTCTGAATTTTTAAAAATATCAAACCATTTTTGGCATTACTAGTAAAGTATATCAGAAAAAATATTTGGTATTATATATTATAAAGAACAATAAATGCATATTTTAATATTGTGTCCCTATTTTGTTCCTTGGTCTTACAATTCTTAGTCTTCCCTACATACTGTGGCGTCATATCAGTCGCCTTGTACAAAAGTGACAAAATATTAGCCATGTGCATTTCATGCTCATGGAATGCATGAGGAAATAGTTACGACAGTGCTGGCGGGAAGAGACGCCGGGCTGAACAATGGCAAACCTAGGGAGCGGAAGGGCAAACTTAGGGGTGCCGCGTCATGGGTGGCCACTTGTGAACCCCGTAGACCACGTGGGGCAAACTTGTGAACCCTGTAGGCAGGCTGGCTGTGGAAACGCGTCGGCGGAAACAGCGAGATGACGCAGTTCCGTCAGCCGGCCCAGGAGGTAATATAAACGGACCCCGGACCTAAACTCCTGATTCTTGGGCCCGTCGGTAGGAAGTCGTGTTGGTTGTGCACGGCGCTGCATTTATTGAAATGCCTATGAATTGTCAATCAACACGATCGAGCACCTGGTCATACTGCACGACCTATGGCGGAGTGATTACACAACAGTAACATACCTGTAATGGACTGGCCTGCAGTCCTGACTTGAATCCTATTGAACGCCTTTGGGATATCTTGGAACGTTGCTTTCGTGCCAGGCTTCACCAACCGACATCAATAACTCTCCCCAGTGCAGCACTCCGTGAAGAATGGGCTGCCATTTCCTAAGAAACCTTCCAGAACCTGATTGAAAGTATGCTTGCGAGAGTAGAAGCTGTCGTCAAGTCTAAGGGTGGGTCACCACCCTATTCAATTACAGCATTACCGATGGAAAATGGCTTACCACGAACTGGTAAGTCGGGTACGTGTTCGGGTACTTTTGATCACATAGTGTAGATAGGGATCACACGATACACCAGAGTGAATCGTGCGGGTTAAGATCTATATTTATTTGTGTTAATGATATCGGTAAGTCAATAAAAAATTGTTGTCATCACATGTATGTTGACGATCTCCAATTGTATATTAGCGGACCCCCTTCTCATGTATGTTGACTCGCAGATTAGAACTTGCTCAAAACATCAACGAAGACCTACAGTCTCTCTCCTCTTGGTCAACATTAACATCACAGGGCTACTGCTAAACATCAATAAATTTCAGTGTTCTGTAATCGGCTTCAGAAACTCCCTAAACAAAGTTATCACTTTCCGCTCTCCCTAACATTTGCATAAATGAAACTCCTCTGTCGGGGTGTAACAACGTGAAAAATTTAGGTGTGCAAATGGATAATACTCTAAACTGGAATGTTCCAATTGATAAAATATGTCGAAAAGTGTTCGCGTTCCTGCACATTTTAAAAAGCATGCGTACTCTTTTACCTACAAAAACTCGTCAGACACTTGTTCAATCCGTCCTAATGCTTCACTTTGATTACTGTGATTTTCTATTGACTGACATAAATTTAAAACAGCAACGTAAGTTACAAGTTGCTCAATATGTATGCATTCGTTTTATTTTCGACCTTAAAAAATACGATTATATTTCAACTTTTTTCGCGCACTAGAAAATTCTCGCCGTTGATAAAAGGCGTTTCCTTCACTGACTTCTCCTCTACAATATTTTAAACAGCCCTCATCTTACCACCCTCTCACAATTTGAGATTATGAAGCTATATCGTTCTCGAGCGTCAGACCTTATTTGTATTCCGCATTACAATACCTCTTCTAAACCATAGTAAACCATTAGTAACTTTACCAGTAGTAAACCATTCACTGTCACTGCCATCCGTGCTTGGAACATATCTTTCCTCCACTATAAAAAATAGTATATTTCAAAAGTTTAAAAAAGAAGTTACAAATTGGATTCATCAAAATTATACTTCACGACATTTCCACTGCTCGTCTGCTAAAACTGGGGACTAGATGGACGCCGTGCCGTTTCAGCGCTGTGGCGAATCCCATTCTTCCAATCCTACATATCGTACACCGTTTTACCCCATTTTTCAAATAAATACTTCCGTATCATCCTTTATCCCTTCTCATATTCTCTCTTACTTAATCTCCCTCTCTCCGGATCACTAAAATCCTCGTTATTTTTGTTTCCTTCCTCTTTTACTTTTAATTTTCATCCAGGTTATTTAACTCTTTCTTTCATATAATATTAATACTATTTATTTAATTTTAAAAAGTGAATAATAATCTGTGTTATACAAAAAAGCAGTTCCTCTTTATATTTTATTGTTATATTTACCCGTATTAAATAATCCATAATCTAGCTATTTGTCTTTAAAACTTACTTGTACACTCGCTCATCATTTTTAAATAGCGTATGAAGAATAACCTTCAACCCATACATCACTTTTATTACAGTACACACGTGTGTGCATTCCTGTGTTGTAAGTGATTATGCATTTGTGCAACGTGATACATATTGGAAATATTTGAAATTGGAAATGGAATTATTGGAAATATAATTCGTGTGCTTTTAATTTTGTCTAGATGTGTTTTACTAATTTGCAATCTTTCTGTTTCAGTTCGTTGTTTCTAAACACTTTCGCCATATTTCTGTTTCTTCTTTGTATTTAGTGTGCACTGAAATTTCTAACTTGTATTGTGTTTTTTGGCAATGTATTGAGTCTTGGCCTTATGCCGCTACTCTAAGGTTTACCTGGATTTACTCAATCTCTTAAGGCGCATGCCGGGATGGTCCCTTGTTTCTAGTCCCAGGAATAAATGTAGTATATATCGTTGGCTTATAGGTGGGAGATGTTGGCTCGGCTTTTCAAGTCTTGGGAATATTCTAATTGGTAAACATTACCTAAATTT